TAATGTTATTTTTGTCTTTCTTATATTATACCTAACCTGTATAGCAATGAAATGCTGATCGGTTAATAAAATCTTAAAAAAAAAAAAAAACGAAAGATTGGTTACTAGACTATGACAATTTGACTCCGCTTAAAAATTTACGGATATATATTTTAATTCATATTGTTTCGGTTTTCAATTCCATATGTTTTATTTTCAATATGTTAATAAAATTATGTTCCTAAATTTAAATTTAAATCAATAAAGTGCGAATTAATGAGCTGATGTCACCTGTCTGCCATGTTATCTTATGGGACGTCTGTCACTGAACAACACAACACCACTTGCAACGTTGCCAATTCTACCAGGCCGCGGCCTGTAGTTAAAGGCGGCCGTGGCAGAACCAAGCCTGCACTAGCGTGGGGTTCCAATTTATCGACATCCCAAAAGATCGACACTGAAATAGTCCCACTTTGTTGACAACTCAAAATGTCGACGGTGTTGGTAATACCGTACATAGCCAAACTGGTTCATGGGAAATTGTTATCTCTATCACTGTCGCTGTCCATAACTTATCGTTTGTAGGTTAAATTTAAATTAATTTAACTGTCATAACCTAACCAAACTATCCAAACTTGCTGATAATGAAAATATCAAATGAAGGTTTACTAATGACAAAATAGTTCGGTTCATAAAATAAAATTATAAATGTCTCAAAATCAATTATATATATTTTTTTTTAATTATAAAATTGAACTATCATAACCTTACCAAACGAACCAAATTTTGCTGATAATAAAAAAATCGAGTCAAAAAGTTATTTCCTCCGGTGGGTTTCGAACCGGCTACCTCCGAATTATCAGCCCGGTGCGATATCCACTACACCACCGAAACCTAATACTATGGTTGTTCAACGTATCGTTGCGGTAATGGTGTTCGCCCGAGCAGTGGTGGCTGGTGGTGGACGGTAGCGGTCTGTCGGCAAGGGTTTCTTTAATACGCATTATCATAGATAAAACATACTCCCTTAGTAGATTTCCCATCCTTATGGAACAGCTGAAGCCAATTTTATTGTTAGTTCTGTACGGTTTTCTGTAGAGGTCGTGTTTTGTTTACAATTTGTTTCCCGTTATTACAGCCATTTAAAACCTCGTTTAACCAAATAATACGGTCTAATCATAAACAATAACTTGTCCCTTAGTTATATAACCAAACAGTAAAGCACAAATCAAGAAATTAACCCTAAAATAATAGAAACAAAGTTTCGTCGACACTAGCGCCTTTGTGTCACGTACATGAACTAGACACGAAAAACGTGCTTCAAAATTTACAATGGGATGAGAAGTCTACTTGTGTTGGTTAGTCTATGGCATTATACAGTATTTGTTTTTTTACTTGTCTCCTAGCCTGTTTCTAGCTAACGAGACACGACCTTCTAGTCGAAGGGGGAGGTGCAGATGTCGCGCATGCGCACAAGCACTGCTATGCTGTCACTGTTATTTGCACAGTTTAGCAGTCCACTGGCACGGCACTGTGTGGTGACTAAAGCCGTGAAGCATAGGTCTCTTTCTAGGGCTAGGCTAGAATTGTATTGCTAACCATTTAGTGGTGGATTTTATTATTATTTTCGTTTATGCCTATATTACTATAGGATGTGTTGGTATACACTTTTACACCCTTTTTAGCTTAGTACACATATTTATTTTTAGTATCGATATTTTACTCCGATATTGCTACTATCAATATTTCACTCCAATATTTTTTTTAGTAGCCCATAAATTAGTATCTTAACTCAGATATTTATTTTTTACCATCATTTTATTCTTTTACTAAACCTCGATGTTTTTCTCCAATATCTATCGATATTTTGACTTTGATATTCTTTTGACATCGATGTTTAAAGGGCGATCGATACTAATATCGACGTTACTGATGTTTCGATGTCCCAACACTGTGCTAAGTCCTGGAAATACAAGTTAATCTAGGCTTAGGCTTAGAAGTACCGGTAGGCCTATAAGAGATACATCTACATATACCTTTTATTCGTCAGTTTGAAAAACAAACTCTTCAGCTTCAAGTGAGATGTTGATATTGTGAGTTTGTAGAATATGATTTCCAAGGTTTTTGTACCACCAGAGAAATTGTTGATTGCATTCTTTCTCGGGGCATAACAACTTGGACGAGGTAAGTCTTTTAGTACCACTGTGCACATTTCTTTGGTGTCTTTTTAGTGAATACGCCGAAGAAAATAGTTCATTACAGGTTTTACTTTCCATATTTAAAAATTAATCAAAGTTAACATAACTCATCCTTGGTCTAAGTTACTTAGACCTAAGTTAGTGCAAACTTTAACTCGAAGTTCGAGGTTGTGAAAGGAAACAAAACAAACAACCCAAAATATCTGTCAAACTGAGTGAGTATGCGTGGCAGTGGCAACTCCGTTAACGGTTACAACGTTACAAGGTGTAGTGACCGGGAACGGGAAGTAACGCAATAGGTTCTCAAAACTGCTACTGCTACTTTGAAAATAACAACAGTGACAGCTTTTGCGCATGCGCGACATCTGCACCTCCCCCTTCGACTAGAAGGTCGTAACGAGACCGTCCATGGGATGGAGGACCCAGACCCCCGCCACGACCTTCTCACAGCAGTATTTCCCCTTCCTTTTTTTTAACTTTTGGAACAGTTACACGGAACTGTTTGGAATAGATTTGTTAAAACCGTTTCATTACAAACAAAGAGTTCCATTCCATTCCCTTTTAGCGAATTTCCCTATAAAGAAGTAGCTATTACCGTAGGTGGCATAGTAAAACCTAGGCCCGGGACCAAATTACTTTTTCATTTTGATGTCCACAGAGGCCAAAAACACCAATCGTTCTAATTTATATATATATATCAGAATCAGAAATACCGTATTTATTTGTCATTGGACATTACAAAAATGCATTGACAATGACAATTGTCATGTGTATATAGCATGGCTACAGTCAGGCTAGACATTACAACTAACATGTCCAATATGTTAATTTTTTTGTGTCAGCTCTGTGGATTACCAACAGTATGGAATGTGATTTAACAATAAATACATTTTGTAAATAAATATGAAAATTTAACAAAGAATAAATTATATGAACCAACAACAAAATACAGATAAGATAAAAATTTATAAAAATTAACAATTGCAACAAATGTTGATGGACAGTTAAAATATAAACAACAGTAGACAAGGTCCTGCTAACAAGAGATAAAAACAGTATAACAAACGCTGATAGACAATTAAGTTAAAAGATTAACAACAATATAAACTAACCAAGATTGACAACAATATAAACTAACCAAGATTAACAACAATATAAACTAACCTAGGCACTGACAATGAGTCTAAAACTGAACTTCCTTTACGGCCATGAAGTCGTCAATAGAAAAAAAGGGTTTCTTAAGAGCCAGTCATAAAATTTACTTAAAAATAAAGAATGTCTACCTGGATAAAATTGAACAGTCTTACTCAATTTATTAAATACCTTATCGGACATAACAACATGACTTTTCAATGTTTTACTCAGCCTATTAAATGTTCTGTTTATCTGACAATTACTTCTTGTATTATATGTATGGACTTGATTGTTAAAAATTGAAGTTGGTAGATTCTTTAAAGCATAAGACATAAGATCAAAAATGTACAAATTAACAACAGTTTGAATTTTTAACTCGAGGAATAAAGGTTTACTATGAGCGTCTTGGGTGGAACTTGCAATTATTAGTCTAACCACCTTTTTTGTATGATTAAAATATCTGTAATTTTGCAGCTGTTTCCCCAGAAGATAAGACCATAACGGAAAATACTTTGGAAAAATGCAAAGTAGGCCATTTTTATGTATTCAAAGTCAACAAAATACTTAAGACGTCTAATGAGATATACCACTCTGGACAATCTTGCAGCTATATGATCGATGTTATTGTCCCACTGAAGGTTATTATCAAGATAAATGCCTAAAAACTTAACACAACTTACATTATTAGGCAGTTTAAGGTTAACAGGCCTGAGACTAAAAATAATATTCTGTGTTTTATCGTTATTTAATAGAAGCCCATTTTCTTGGAACCACACTGATGTCTTGTTTAAAGCCCCATCAGCTAAAGGTTTAAATTATCTAATGATTGCTAACTGATACAAAAGTAGTGTCATCAGCATACAGTATGGTTTTTGTTAAGCTAGGTATTTTTTGGCAGGTCATTTATGGCTACTGGGAATAACATTGGTCCCAGAACAGAGCCTTGTGGTACTCCATACTTGAGAGTAGCCTCGTCCGACCACAAGCCATTTAAAAGTACACGTTGCTTGCGATTTTCAAGGTATGATTTAAAAAAAGAGAGCAGACCCCTTAATGCCTAAATACTCTAATTTGCACAATAGATTATCATGGGCCACACAGTCAAAGGCCTTGCTCAGGTCACACAGTGTGGCCCAAGCAATGGCCTTCCTCTCAAAAGTATTTAATACTTCTTGTACTAAAGCATCGATGGCAAATGTGGTTGACATACCACTGCGGAAACCATATTGAGACATATAAATAAGATTGTTATTTTCTAAAAAATTGCTGACTTGATCAAACCCAAGTATCTCAATAACTTTGATAGAGTTGGCATGATTGATATGGGCCTATAACTTTCAGGCCTATTCCTAGCACCTTTCTTAAAGATTGGACAAACACGTGAAATCTTCAGTTGACCATTAAGCAGACACAAGTTGATACATCAAGTGAATGGGTGTAATATACCAGATATAATGTGTTTTAATGAGTTGTTTAATATATTTTAGAAATCATTACTGTTTTTTGGACAACTACTGAACAATATAGTGAAACAGTTAGATCTCAGCATCGAATATGTGGTCCACAACGAGTTGGGTGAAAAAGTGGTTAAGAGGGTTTCAAAATAAACCAGAAGCACATTTATCATTTACCAATTTAACCTTATTTTGTTTCGTCCATTTAATGAATTGCTAGTATGTAATTTCATACCTTTGTTTCGATTTCGGTGGCAAAAGGTTCGCACAAACGGTTTGTGCTCTCATTTCCATCTCGTCAACTTCACTTTCACTAGTGACATTTTTAAATCAGTTTAATCTACCTTCCTTTAACTTCCACCAACTTAGGTTAAGAATACGCGAGTATCAACAGGAACAAGTCGGATCAACAATTAAAATTGTCAACTGATCAGCTGATCAGCTGTTTAGTTGACATTCGAAGCTTTACAATTTTACTTCTTATCTCTCAATCCTTGAACCTCATTGGTCCGTTACCCGTGTTGTTATGAGAAAAACTATGCTGTTATGAAATGAAACTATGCTGTTATGAAAGTAAACAGCTGTTAAGTGAAACTTTTCAATTCTAAAAACTGAACTGAAATGGCTACTTTAAAAAAAGGTCGTAGGTAAAAGGTATATCATAATAATTCAATTTTTATGCAGGAAAAATAATCAAGTTGAGAAGGAACGGAGCTACTTGTAATATAACGGTTTCGCCAAACCTATTCTATACTTTTTGTCACAGTTGCATTGAACATTATCCCAAACAGTTCCGTGTAACTGTTCCAAAGGTTCTAAAAACAGGGAGGTGAAATACTGCGGCGAGAAGGTCGTCCCCCCGCCACCGCGCCATGGAACAGCGGAATTGCTCTCGGTGGGTGAGCAACTTTTGGGATACCTCGGAATGTGATAGTGACGTCATAGAATAGTTCAAGTATCGACCAACAACCAGATGGGCGGTTTTAATTCGTAATCGTGTCGTAGTCGTAAGTTTTTTTTTGTAAAATTTTATTTAATTTACAATCTGTTCAACAAAAAATAGAACAATAAGCAAATTTGATAAAATTTAAACACAGTAGTTAGTCTTTATCCAACAATAGAGCTAACACACAAACTTTGCATATTTGGTACAAAGTTTAAAGTCTAAAAACGACTACTTAAGTCCAAAACATGGCATCTTTTCAATCTGTATGCATAGTTGCTGTTGTCCGATAAATTTTAAAGCAAGGTAGTTAGGATGGTACTCTAATTTCTTTTAGTATTTGGCACTTAATTTTGAAATTTTTTCTTTGACTGTTGGGGTTCGACTGTCCCTGTGAATCACTTCGTTATTGACAAACCATGGTGCCTGGAGAATGTGTCTTAGAACTTTAGATTGGAATCTTTGGATGATGTTCAGATTGGATTCACTGGGTGTCCCCCACAGTTGGATACCGTACGTCCACACTGGTTTTAGAATGGTTTTATATAACAGAAATTTATTTTCTGTTGTTAATTGAGAATTTTGATTTATACCCAAGAAAGATTTTTAAATTTTAAATTTAACGAAATTCTCTTGTTCCAGATGTGGCTTTTCCAAGTGAGTCTTCTATCAAGGGTCAAGCCCAAGTATTTAACCTCATTGCACTGTGGGATTTGAACGTTGTTTAGGGTAAATCTATATTACTCATTCGGTTGTTTGTGCCAACAGATATGGAAGTGTACCCATTGCCTCTGGTATACAGAGAACAGTGACAAAAAAGAAGATAAAAATTTAGAAATTCATTCTAACTGCAATTTTTTTGTATGGCGGCCACGGCCACTTTTATAGTGATTAGATTTGGTCATAACAAACAGTTTACAAGTACATTCTTCATTACATTTAAATCCAAGGATACAGGAAGAACTTTTCCAAAGACAAATTTCCTTCCACCAAATACTGCTCTAACTTGGCAAAGGTCAGATTTTTAACAGGAGTGGGCAGATTATAACACTGGGTTTTCAATGTTTTCATCAGACCACAAAGTTTATTTGGGTACTTTCCTGTTAAAGGGAACATTAATTATTATCGATGATTTCTTTTCGATTTATCGATATTTTTGTTTTACTTCACGATCCGTATTCCTTCTGTTTTAATATCTTCAAACGCAAAAATTACAGATTAAGAACTAACCTTGTTTAGGCAAAAATAATAGCCCATAGGCCTATATTGGAGTAGGAAATGAAACTATTCTAAACTAACCTAACATAACTAACCAAACTTGCTGTAGGCTAAGTTACCATTTCAAAATTCCGTTTTATAACAGAAAATGCATATGGGGAATAGGCTATCAAACGGGGCTAACGGAAAGTTGAAATGTTACAGCAAGTTTGTGTTTGGTTATTTAGGTTAGTTTAAAAGAGTTTTATTTCATTACAATATTTTTTATAATCAATATCGGATAGAAAATCGCGTATCTGTTGGCACAAACAACCGAATGAAAATATCGGGCGATACCCTATATCCATTATTCGATATACTTATCGTGTGGTTAGTTAGGTAAGGTTAACCATAGATAAATCATACTCCCTTGGGTTAACCTAAACTAACTAAGTTAACCAAAACAATATATCGAATGAAACAATCGAATAATCGATATTTTCATTCGGGGGTACACTTCCATATCTGTTGGCACAAACAACCGAATGAAGATATCAATCGATAGGCTATATCGATTATTCGATATATCGTTTTTTTAGTTATGTAAGGTTAACCTAACCTAACCAACCAAACGATATATCGAATTAAACAATCAAATAATCAAAATTACTCATTCGGTTGTTTGTGCCAACAGATATGGAAGTGTACCCTCATTCGATTGTTTGTGCCAACAGATACGGAAGTCTGGGTGAGGTTCATAATGTCCAAATTTCACAAACTCCAACATCTAAAATATTAAATAAACAGTGCGTTTCATAACCTCCAAATTTCATAAACTCCAAAACTATAACTTTCAAATAAGCACCGTTTCACAATGTCCAAATTTCACAAACTCCAACGTTAATATATTAAATAAACAGCGTTTCATAACCTCCAAATTTCATAAACTCCAAAACTATAACTTTCAAATAATCATCGATTCACAATGTCCAAATTTCACAAACTCCAACGTTTAAATAACAAATAAACACAGCGGTTCATAACCTCCAAGGTTCATAAGCTCCAACGGTACAGTCTCTGTCAGAAGTCCTGCAGAGGTTGCCGTGGTTCGGTATGTAGGTGCTACACGTTCTACTGTTGTAGCGGCGCAACACGAAGCATCATTGTTGCTCCGTAATTGCTTTATAAGTATACAGGGTGATTGATATAAGTGTGCCAGCCGTTTTATTCGAAAACCGATCCGTTTTTATTCGAGATATCAAATAAAGTTAAACGGTAAGTGCCTTGGATTTTTTATTTAAAAAATTGTAGTCAAGTAAAAAAAAATATATTTTAGCCGCCATTTTTCCAATATGGCCGCCAACTTTGATTTTTCTTATGGAACACCCTGTATTTTATGATGTATTCTGGTAGGAAATGTAATTTTAAGACGATTTTATTCTTGTGGTTTTTTTTCATAAACCTAACTAGAGAGACTTCTGGCCCAGACTGTACCGTTGGAGGTAATGAAATTTGGACATTATGAACCGCTCTGCTTATTTGGTATCTAAACGTTGGAGTTTGTGAAACTTGGACATTGTTAAACAGTGATTATTTGAATGTTATAGATTTGGAGCTTATGAAATTTGGAGGTTATGAACCACTCTGTTTATTTAATATTTAAACGTTGGAGTTTGTGAAACTTGGACATTGTGAAACGGTGATTATTTGAATGTTATAGTTTTGGAGCTTATGAAATTTGGACATTATGAAACGCGCTGTTCATTTAATATTTTAAGCGTTGGAGTTTGTGAAATTTGGAGTTTATGAAACGCTCCCGGAAGGCTACCCAAAAATCGTATTACAATCTCTCAACAGTTTCATCCATTGCACTTTCATTGTAACTTATGTAGCCTGCATTCATGTAAGTTAAATAGCATTGCCTATGGTGAAAGACTCAACGGCCATTTTAAATGTTTAGATCTTTGCTATGGAGTGTAAAAGAATGCTAAGAAGCAAGAATTCATAGGCTTAGCCGGGAGGTTAACCATGATAGACATAGGACTAATGTCTTATTTTAAATTATCATCTTCTATATATATAAAAGGCAGAGCCCTCACTGACTGACTGACTGACTCACTCACTCATCACTAATTCTCCCACTTCCCATTTAGCTAGAAGGCTGAAATTCGGCACACTGATTCTTTAGGCATTAAATAGGAAAAATAAGTTGTTTTTATTCAGGTCGGACCCTCGGGCTCCACCCCAGTGGCTCAGGAGTTTCCTATGTTAACGTTAACCTTATGAGTACTCAACCATATTTAAATTGAATTAATGAATCTTAACAGCTGTTTCAATTAAACATGTTGGTACTGTTCTGATGTTTTGTTCAATAGCATTAAAGTTAAAAGGATTACCAACAGGGTGCAGCACTATTTTTTTTTTAATTCATGACAACAGCTAATATGCAACCAAAATGTGAGTGAGCGTAGCGAAGGAGCTTCAACCAGAACGTGATTGAGCGAACAAGCTCACTTAACTTATGAAGTTAAACGAGGCGAAGCCCGCGGGTACAGCTAGTTAAGAATAAATTTAAAAATTGAGTAGGCATAGGCATACACTAAAATAGTAGTTTACGCAACGATTGCGTTAAGTGAGTCTTTACGACACGAGTAGAAAATTTAAGGCACGAGCCTTGGCGAGTGCCTTAAAAACTTCTACGAGTGTCGTAAAGACTATTAACGCGAGTTGCGTACACTACTTTACCTACGACCGTTTTTTAATTACTATCAATCTGGATTTAATTACTAACAATAACTACTGAACTGATAACTTTTTAGAGAGGTTATGTTTTCGTGTATTGTCATTGCCACTGAAAGTGATGCAACGACTTGTTGTATAATCAGCTGATTTCCTGTAATTACGTGTTTGTTAAACTTCGTTAAATATTACATTGCTAGCAGCATTCTTACCATAAATAATATTGTATCAGGTACAATTCGGCAAATATTTAATTTATTTTTGGACTTCTACCAACTTAATTAAGAATACGCGAGTATCAACATGAACAAGTCGGATCAACAATTAAATTGGTCAACTGATCAGCTGATTAGTTGACGTTCGAAGCATTACAATTTTAATTCTTTTCTCTCAATACTTGAACCTCATTGGTCCGTTACCTGTGTGGATATGAGAAAACTATGCGGATATGAAATGAAACTATGAGGATATGAAAGTAAACAGCTGTAAAGTGAAACTTTTCAATTCTAAGAACTGGACTGAAATGGCTACTTAAAAAAAACGGGCGTAGGTAAAAACATTAAAGGGGCAAAATTACAAAAGGATAATAGTACATTTTTATAAAGTTTAGTAAACATGCTATTTATTCACAGAAATGGATTTTAATCTATGCAGTAAAAATGTATTACCTAACCCGCCATGTTAAACTTCCCTATCCCAAGCGTGATGTATACGACTTCCTTACTTCTCGAGTGATGTAAAGTATCAAAAACTCACTCGGTGATGTAATGAAACCCATTTAAATAGCATTGAGTGAATAACTTAAAAATATACCTCTATGGAGCAAACGACGTTCAACGCTAGAAATCAGCTGTGTGCTTGAATTTTATTGTTATGCTTTGAAGAATTTTCCTAACCTAGCTTTTGTTTGTAAATGAACGTTACTGTTAGAAGATGAGTGAAATGGATAATGAAGCATAGGCCTATTGCTCGTAACCTCATGTATATTGTCGGGTCCGGGTCAGGTAAAATTTTGTACGTTACACGTTACGCAAGAGAAACTTGGACATTGTGAAACGGTGATTATTTGAATGTTATAGTTTTGGAGCTTATGAAATTTGGACATTATGAAACGCGCTGTTCATTTAATATTTTAAGCGTTGGAGTTTGTGAAATTTGGAGTTTATGAAACGCTCCCGGAAGTCTACCCAAAAATCGTATTACAATCTCTCAACAGTTTCATCCATTGCACTTTCATTGTAACTTATGTAGCCTGCATTCATGTAAGTTAAATAGCATTGCCTATGGTGAAAGACTCAACGGCCATTTTAAATGTTTAGATCTTTGCTATGGAGTGTAAAAGAATGCTAAGGAGCAAGAATTCATAGGCTTGGCCGGGAGGTTAACCATGATAGACATAGGACTAATGTCTTATTTTAAATTATCATCTTCTATATATATAAAAGGCAAAGCCCTCACTGACTGACTGACTGACTCACTCACTCATCACTAATTCTACCACTTCCCATTTAGCTAGAAGGCTGAAATTCGGTACACTGATTCTTTAGGCATTAAATAGGAAAAATAAGTTGTTTTTATTCAGGTCGGACCCTCGGGCTCCGCCCCAGTGGCTCTGGAGTTTCCCATGTTAACGTTAACCTTATGAGTACTCAACCATATTTAAATTGAATTAATGAATCTTAACAGCTGTTTCAATTAAACATGTTGGTACTGTTCTGATG